ACACACACACATCTACTTGCTTTTCACACGCGCACGCTTACGCATCGTTACGAAATGAGCACATACACATATATAATAAAATAAGATACACCATGCAATTCGCTAAATACACAACTGGATATATAGTCATTTACATAACATCGTCCTAAACATGTATCTACTGACAGAAAAATGATGTCGTTAAATGTGTCTTTAAAGATTCTTTTAAAATTTAGACTCAGATGTTGTATGTCTCAAGAGTTGGGGAAGAGAGTTCCAAATTGATGGAGCTAGGTGGGAAAACGATCTTTCAGCTAATTTTTTACCGCCTTTTCTATGAACTCTTAAGAGATACTGATCGCCTGATCTTAGTTAAGATCACTAGATGGAACATAAATCTGGATGAGATTACTTAGATAAGAGGGAGCTTTGTTATTGACACATTTATGACATAATATTGCAATTTTATACGACCTTCTAGCTGACACGGGTAGCCAATGCTACGTTCTTAACATGGGAGTAATGTGATCCCTCTTCTTTTTCTTTAGAACAAGCCTAGCAGCATGATTTTGAGAAAGTTGTATCTTGTGAAGAGTGGTATTTGGTAAGTTATCTAGTAAAGCTTTGCAATAATCGTTGCCTGAAAACAAGAAAGATGGCACGATCGGTTTCAACGAGTATTCATTCAAAAACATAGTCATATGACCAATTCTACTCAATTCACAAAATAAAATGGTACATAAATAATTTATATGATTTTCCATTGACAATTTCGAATCAAAATAAACTCCTAGATTTTTTGCTTGATCAGTAAAATACAGTTTTTCATTTTCAGTACAAACATGATCAATGTCTACGGGGATATTGCTTTTCTGTGGGTTACATAGGAATGTTTAATTACCTTTACTTAGAGTTAGTCCACCGTGGTCTGTGGGTTACATAGGAATGTTTAATTACCTTTACTTAGAGTTAGTCCACCGTGGTCTGTGGGTTACATAGGAATGTTTAATTACCTTTACTTAGAGTTAGTCCACCCTGGTCTGTGGGTTACATAGGAATGTTTAATTACCTTTACTTAGAGTTAGTCCACCTTGGTCTGTGGGTTACATAGGAATGTTTAATTACCTTTACTTAGAGTTAGTCCACCGTGGTCTGTGGGTTACATAGGAATGTTTAATTACCTTTACTTAGAGTTAGTCCACCGTGGTCTGTGGGTTACATAGGAATGTTTAATTACCTTTACTTAGAGTTAGTCCACCCTGGTCTGTGGGTTACATAGGAATGTTTAATTACCTTTACTTAGAGTTAGTCCACCCTGGTCTGTGGGTTACATAGGAATGTTTAATTACCTTTACTTAGAGTTAGTCCACCGTGGTCTGTGGGTTACATAGGAATGTTTAATTACCTTTACTTAGTGTTAGTCCACCGTGGTCTGTGGTGTAGCGGTTAGGTGCTTTGTCGTTGCTTGCAGCAGACCTGAGTTTGATTCCCGTAAGGGGAAGATTCTTATCGAATAACTTGGTCTTTCTAGCTGGACAGTGTTACCCTCTCAGCCCGGTTGGCCGCGACAGGCAGCCAAAGCCCACATCCTAAATTATTTAACTTGTGTCTGTGGGGGCGTAGAAAAACCTGCAATTTAGAAGAAAAAAAAGAGCAAGCTGACTGAAAGGGCTTTGAGACATTCTTCCCCATCCCAACTACCAAAAAGCCAGACTTGGTGTTATGGGAGGAAAAATAGAAAGAGGTGCACCTGGTGGAACTCACGGTGCCCCACGAGGACAATGTCTATGCCGCACATGAGCGGAAAGAAAAACGGTACTAAGCACATGTCGAACAATGTGAGGAGGCAGGATGGAAAGCAACCCATTTTCCGATAGATGTAGGATGCAGAGGTTTCTTAGCAACGAATGCCCGTAAGTGGATGAGAGTGGCAGTACTTACTGCAAAGAAAAGCAACGAACTCATAAACTACCTTAACGAGACAGTAGAGAAAGCCAGTCACTGGATCTGGTTAAAGCTAGAGGACGCAAGCTGGAATGAATCCTAAGAGTTGGCAGCAGAGGAAAACAGTCGGACTAGCATGGAGACCTTACATCGGTGAGGGGGCTCGGTGCGTCAGAAAAGCTGTAGAGAGGAAGAGCCCGAAACAGCGACACATTCTCTCCTATGATCTCCAATCTAGAGTCTGGGATATGGAGCGTTCGGCTGTGAGCAGTGTGTACGGCTGTTTCAGACTTCATTTCATTACTGTAGGCCTGGTTGGAAAAAACAATGACAGTAACAAGGGAACATGGTTGCCCTCCCACCTCCCTGCCCTTTTTCCGGTGACAGATGCTGCAAGCCTATGAGACCTTTGCCCTAGACAAACATGCTGCGAGAAGAAGACCAGACTCTTTGACTGAGATGTCTGGTGATCATCTCAAGTTGTGTCAGGTGAGTTGAGTGAGAAGTTAACAATATTAATATATTATAGCTTGTGGCTTGTATCGTGTAAATTCCCTCTCAACAGCGAGACCTAAGCACTTTGCAATCTATGATTATTACCCCAGCAGACCTGATAGCATCCTGAAACAAATTTAACTTCCTGAGAAGCATGCAGGGGAATCTGTCATTTTACAGGTGCTATCACACTGACATACTAACAAGATCTTTCGCTGTCTATGGCCCAGTACCCATTTCCAACAAGGCGAAGTGAGAACATAATTTGTGTAAAGTGTCTTTCCCAAGGACACAATGTTGGGTCTGAACCTTGAACTCCCAATCTCCCAAACTTACAAACTCACGATTTTGAGTCTGGTAGCCTAACCACTAGCCTACCGAAAAGATGACTCTATTGGCCCTGTTGAATTTTCCCCTTTGGGGTATGATATAACTTATTCTCAGTTTCTCATATCACACACGGTTCCCACTAAGCAAACAGCGACTTCAGGTTAGTGTGAGTGACCACCGGTTGGCACAGAACGTGGATTGGTTTTGCATTAGAGATACAGGGGCGAAGGCTGACTTGTTTGACAGGGTAATCAAAGTGAAACGGAACCAGATATTATGACCTGGAGATATCACACAAGAATCTTACTCGAGGCGGCGACTCTTAAGTTGTGTGGATGAAAACAAATCCGGAATTCAACCGCCAAAATAATCGGGAAAGTATCTCATTAAATATCAATTCCAACTAAAATTAAATTTAACTTTAGAAGTGAATACACAAACCCAAAGCAAGGAAGCAGAGATGTCAGTACTAGATCTATAATATATTATATCTTCGGTAGAACATGACAATTATCATTTTTTTAAATTTCACTTTTGTCTGTTTTTTGTCTAGCTTTTCGTGGCCAGGAGCCGGTGTCATAATCGAGGTCACGATCTGATTATAGGACGTTAAAAAGTTCGAGGAAAAAAAACAAGCGCAGGCAGCAGTAAAGAGATTATTAGGAGTTAGTTCCCCACACATCTGTAAGGTAGACTCGACCAGTGTAATAGTTCACTTACATAATCAGGGCTTACGACTGATTATAACTGTGGCCCGAAAGGGATGAACAGGGTACATGTGGCAATGAAACAGTATTGACTGCTATGCACGTATTCCCTTCAATTCTATTGGTAGACTCTTCCAGTCCCACTTTAAGCTTATTTAATCAAAGCTTGTGAGAGGGGTGAGCAGGCTATTTCTGTGGCAGTGAAACCGTTTTGAATGTTTGGCATACTGTTCATTGTTGATTATGAACGTCTTTTTACATTTAATTTATAAGGTTTACGTTTATGGGTGAATTTTGCTAGAACGTTTCAAAATTAAGAAGGGAAGCAGTGATTATTTGATTTTATATAAAGGTTCCGCCACTGTGAGATAGCTTGTGTACCTCAAGCTCAGATCTCCTGCGAGCGACGGCGAACGGACTAACAATTACACCACAGGAACTTGTGTTCCTCAAGCAAAACTGAAAGATTGGAAGTCCTCAGATTATCTCTAAAGTGCAACTCTGTCCTTTTCTTTCCTGCAGGAACTCGGAGTCTCGGGTGTACTCGGTGGTCTATTCATCGCGGATCTCTCTCTCTCTCTCTCTCTCTCTCTCTCTCTCTCTCTCTCTCTCTCTCTTCTGGCGCTGTTGCGTCACTTGCTCCGGAGTCCTTGAAAAGTGCTGAGCATGGGTCACTGAAAAGTCCTAGCAGACGTGTTCTGGCACGATATTTGGCGGGACATTTCAGGAACACATGGTCCATAGTTTCGTCCTCTTCCTTGCAGGCTCGACAGGACGGATCTGGGGAGTCTGCTGGCGCAAGTTTGTGGAGATATGATCTCGGCTTGGGCGATTTTCCACCAGATCTCATTTTTCATTGCGGATGGAAGTGTACTTGTTAACCCTCTTAACCCTTTAGTTCCCAACACTTAGATCTACCCCAGTTTATCTCAGTCCTTTGTTTTAATTTGAGTTCTATAGTCGTGCATAATTTTCCCCTGCTTTTTTTTTTATCAACGTCCACAGTGGGAGAAGCAGGTAAAGCCATCACGTGGAGCAAGGATCGTCAATACATTGTTCCAGCTTTTTGGAATAAACTTTTCCTCTTCACCCAAAAGGAAGGAGCAGTAGTCAATTTTAGTATTACATTTCCATCGACAACAGCATATGAGGTAAGTGATTCCACTATCTTGTCGGATATCCAGTCTTGTTGTGATAGGTGGATATCCAGTCATGTTGTCAAAGGTGGATGTCCAGTCATGTTGTGATAGGTGGATATCCAGTCATGTTGTCAAAGGTGGATATCCAGTCATGTTGTGATAGGTGGATATCCAGCCTTGTTGTGATAGGTCATGTTGTGATAGGTGAGATATCCAATCATGTTGTGATAGGTGAGATATCCGGTCATGTTGAGGTGGTGGGCTAGCGGGCTGTTCTGTACTTACAGGAGGGACACATAGAGGAAGTTACTACAAGATGACATTTTCTAAATAATGCTCCAACACATACACACACACACACACATATACACATACGCATACACACAGACATTCACTCCTAGAGAAAAAAGGAGTAAGAAAGAGAGAGGGGGACAGAGAGAGGGGGAGACTGAGATAAATACATATATATTTATATATATATATAATATATTATAAATGTATATATATATATATATATATATATATATATAGAGAGAGAGAGAGAGAGAGAGAGAGAGAGAGAGAGAGAGAGAGAGAGAGAGAGAGGGGGGGGGGGGTGTCAGTTTTTTTGGCTTTGTAGACATGTAATGCTTTCCGATTCGATGTTTTGAAGTTTTTGTGTTTGAACTTAGATAGTTCTTTCCTTGAAATTCTAGGATGAAGACAAACAGAAATGAGGAGATGAACAGAACTTATACTTTTCACCCACCCCCGCTCCCCCTTCGTTTTAGGGTGAGGTGTATGTCTCTTTTTATACTGCTTCTATGTGATGCCTGTGGTACTTCTTGTGCAAATTATGAGGCTGAGGCCATCGCAATTAAAGCAGCAATCTTCCACCTGGCCAACATTTTCGTTATATATCCAGATAAAATCAAGGACACTTATCTTCACAGACGGAAAATCAGTACTCCAGGCTTCGGAAATCACGGATTTCAAAAGCCCAGTTTGCCTATCTGTGGCTCTAACAATTAACACCTTCATGCTGGCCTATGCCGTCGACCTGACTTTACAGTGGATACCTGGCCACAGCAACATCCCAGGAAACGACAGAGCAGACACCCTTGCCAAGAAGGGAGCATCACAAACACAACCTCAAAAGCCAGCATCACAACAGACAATGAAGAACATCATCAAATGCAACAACAGGGAACAGTGGATGAATGTTGATAGGGGCGTTAAACTTATACCATTTCACCATTTCACCAAATGCTGTTACTATTTTAACCATGACTTTACTTGGGCCCACTATATAACCTGTAGGTCATTTTAGCTCTAGCCTGTATAATCTGTACACCAATATTTTGTGAATTAATGAGTTGTTGGGTTTTTTTCCAAATATTCATCTTCCTTTATCACATTGTACTGAATGGGGGTATGAGATGATGCAAAGAACACTAAACTGTTCCTTAACCGTTTCCTCGTTCTGTTTTTTTTTGTTGGTTTTTTTTTTGTGGTATTTTTTGGATCCGCTGTTAAATTTTTGCCATAAAAATGCTTGTACTTGTACCGCTCTGTGTGAAAATAAACTGTATAAACTGAGGAACTTGTCCTTTGAAGAGAATTTGTAAAGTGGGAGCTCTTGTATCACACCAAGTGCTTCTGTTTTTGCCAGAGATACCACACACACACACACACACACACACACACACTCACACACACACACAC